TCATATTTACAATAGTCCAGGTACGCTGATTCGCGGCGGCCCCAAAATTATTAATGAAATCGAAGAAGTGTCAGTAGTGCCGAAACGCAACTTATACTAAAATGCAATGTGCGCAACTAATTTAACTAATACTGATTTAATTAACATTAACACTAATTTAATTAGTACAAATTTAATTAATACAATTTAGTACTAAAAATTACACGGACCGAACAATGCATTATTAGTGAAATCATCAAAGGGATGAAACACAGACTGCATCGTGAAATGTCTTCTTGTACATGACACCTAATTCCAATCTTCTCCACTATTCACTAATAATTTATTCTTACTTAATTCTAAACATTACCAATCCACCTTTACATTCTTCTTCCTTAAGAGTGTGGCAATTTTCTTCAACTTCTCAATTCTAATTCCATTTTCATTTCTGATCCTAATTTTTTCAGCCAAAATGTGTTTAGAAGTTTTTTTTTTTTATTATTCCCTATTTAAAAATTTGTTTAGAAAAAATCTGGAAATAAAAAAATTGGAATAAAAAAGGTTAGAAATAAAAAAATCTGTTTAGAAATTGATCTTATGCCTCCGTGTACAAATATTTCAACATCATGATGAGGAATCGGGATACCTGTTTACTACAATAACGAAGTCGTAAATTTGGAATTCACCAGTCCCCTTTCATGAGAATCACAATAGTAAACACATAATTCAGATGAATAAGTGAGTGAGGATTGCTGACAGTATGTTCATGAGTGAAGTGATGAAAAATGAACCTCATCAATTTTCCATTCGCAAGCTTCGGTGATTGGAAGTGATGATAATGCAGAGGAGGAGAATTCCCGAGTATCGATATCATTCGCTAAAAGTAAACCTTCCGTTTCTGCTTCAATATCACCAGCCAAGCCCAAACTCTTGTACAATTTCCTGTAAATATAAACACCTCCTTGGCTTTTTTTTAATTTGATTTTTAAATAATTCTGACTTCTTTTTGCCACTTCATTAAAAACGGACAATTCTGAGATCAAAGATTTTTGGAATTTCAAAATTTTGAAATCAAAAACTTGCAAACTTGAAATTTGAATTTGAAGTCAAAAAAATACAGACTGAAAAACACATCCTGAAACCTTTTCCTAATAAGCAGTGCACTTCACGGTGGCCCATTATGGGCATGAGCGCTGACGTTCAACATACAAACCGAAACCGTTAAATCCAAGGATTCCACTGAGCATTCCATTGATTGTTAAATTCATTCCATTGAACAATTTCACGACGAGAACATTTAGCGTACAAAAGCTAGGGAAAGAAAGCTTAAAAATTATGGCTGAGAGGCCCGAGAGGGGGAGGGGAGAACGTATATGAATACATATCACAAAATCTAATCCATTTCACATAATGATTTATTGCTTTTTGTTAAAAACTGCGTAAGGAGCCATTGCATCATTACGATGGTAACCTCTCTGGTCTTTTTTTAATCTTTGAATACTCTACCCCTCTTTGTGATCTGTGGCTTTTCTTGTTCACTTTACGTTGTGCAACTCCAGTTCCTTGTATATAATAATAAATAAATATATATATGTATATATATATGCATATATATATACATATATATATATGTATATATATATATATATATATGTAACTAGGTTTTGACTACCTCTAAACCATCCATGCACTCACAAATAGGGCACGCACACTAGTCTGACGCATTACTATAAATGTTTGGAGCTAAATTCACAAAATCTCACGCAACGGAGGAAAAATACAATTGTGCTGGCAATGATTCAGAACAAAACGTAATAAATGGCAACGCGCACCAGACTAGCCGGTGCGATCATGCGTTTTGTGCAATTCAGCCC